TAATTCAAGACCTAGGGTCGACCCTTGTGTCAAGAATCATTAGGCCATTAAGGTTGGTTTTAGTATGAATTGTTTTTGGTGGAGTGTGGTTATGCCCATTATTTATTATGTTAAGATTATTAAAAATTATAAAATATTATCTTTAAAAATATTGATTTTATTTATTTTTATTAATAAAAATGACTAATAATTATAACTATTAATTAATAATTTATAGAACAATTGATATTTATTAATTAGTAAATTAAAATTAATTAGCATACTAACATTTTCAAATACTCTTAAAAAAAAAAAGACCAGACATGGGCGGCCTTAACATCTTATATGATGACCATAACCCTACCCATTTTGGTGAGCTGGGCCTTCTTAGTGTAAATTAAATGTTGATAGAGGTTGGGATGCTAAGTTTAGTTTCTTGTATGTGTTTCAACCAAAGAATTGAGAACACCAATCATTTTTAGAAGTTCTCTCTTATAATTTGGGTATGAATGTTGTTTACATGCATACCAATTTGGTCATTGTCTGTCCCCCATCACTTCTTATTATATCTTTGTCTCAATGAGATGTCAAAATCTCTGATTTTAGGGCATGAAAGATGTGCAAATCTTGATTTCTTGCAATACTAAAAATTAGGAAGATGGATTTCTTTTTGGGTCATTTTATGTGTTATCATTTGTTCCACACGCCATGAATTCCTTCTATTTCCTTTTGGTGCAAATGGATTATTAACTACATATATAAAAGAACAGCCAAGGCCAATTTTAGTGGCGGCAATTGGGCCAAGCAGGATAGCTTGTTCGGGCCATTTTAGATGGGAACCACTCCAATCCAGCAAGAGCACTGAAATTGGCTGGAGGAGCATGTTAAAATCTAGGTTTAATAGGATTGATTAGGGCTGGAGATCAGTGTGGGCCAGTTGATAAATTACGCTTAGTCTATGTCTAAGTATAATAGCCTGAGCTGGTTCAGTGGGCTTGATTGCACGCTTATTGTGAAGCCCATGGTCTAACCCTGGATGGTTGGGTGAACTCCTCACAGTCACTTCAAGTAGTGTTCAAGCCCAACTAGCTCAACACTCCTTTTCTTCTTTCTGTTTTCTGCCAAATACTCAATAAAAGGACTAATTCTCAATTCATTAATCAAATTTGGTCATGAAAATGCATTAGAAAAGAAAAAAAATCAAGAAGACTTTCACCATTAAAAAAAAATGATATCTTCTAACTATTTTAATTTTAGAATTAAGATATTTGACATACCTAAATTATATAGATATTTGGACCGACAACGATAGGACTCTTCTTGTGAACCAATCTCCCTTCCCTATCCTGCATGAATTTTATACCAATGCTTCGGGATCCAGAGCCATGTTTCAGCTGTATGGGGTCCTAAATAAGTTTGGAGGACTCACTAATCCAAGGCCATCGGCTGTCCAGCCTCCTAGACCCCTACCATACAGTAGTAATTAATTCTGCTGGTGGCTATGTTCCCTCTGCAACCCTCAGCCCCTCCAGATATTTTAACTGTACATTTTGGATGTTCCGCACAACAAAAATGACAACCAGAATATCTAAGTTTCTTTGTAAACAAGCACTTTATTTTTTTTTTAAATTGATTTTCTGATATTTAGAAATCATATTAGATCTTAACAAGCACTTTATTCGAACATTTGTTTTTTCATTTATATGACTCGAATTTAAAATTTTATTTAAGAGGAATCGAGCTCATTCCACTCAAATTAACATGTTATTAGTAACAAACACTTTACTATTTTATTTGGTTTAATTAACCGTTTTAAATAATTTATAGTTATATTAGTTACGGGATGTTAAAAACAGATAAACTAAACAAAACCTAGAGCCGTACGTATACGAAAATACATTAATTTACCTGGGTGAAGTTCCAGCTTCACATACATCATGGAAGAAATTCAATTGAGTGACGCATAAGGATTATTATTAAACACCAGTCTTGAGTTTTTAGGCGACTGTATTGTGCAGATCTAGCTAAATTGTTAAACAGCGAGAATCCTAGGCCCAAGTCCTTTGACAGTATCAATGAAAACAACACTAGTAGTATATTAAACAGCAAAAAATAACAGTAAACATTGACAATTTAAATATTTAAGTTACGCAATGCGTGCAACGTGCAAGGTAAAAGAGGCGCACATGGGATTTTGGTTATAAAGGTCCATTGTCCAGATAATGTCCTGCAGTTCCTAGCTATTTACTAGCTAGAAACATGCTGTGGATTTAATTTGTACGATCAAAACCACTGTGGTCCTCCTTTTTCTAGGTTTGGTTGGCACATGCATGGACCTTACTTTTTTCTTTGACTTTCCCATCTCTCTCTCTCTCTCAACTCAAGTCCCAATTGAATCTCCACGGCGCTGCTCTGCGCCCTTTTTCACTTTTGTAGTCTTTTCCTTTCATCCTCATCTCGTTTTCGTTAGAGGACATATACATGGACGACCACCCCAACCCCAACCCACAGATTTTTTTTTTTCTTGGATGTATCCTTTTAGACATCACATGTAATGTTTTTGGTTGGTCCTTCTAATTTCTTTGTTTCCTAGTGGCTGAATATATATAAGATACGCACTCCCAAATGAAAGAGACATGCATGCATATGTCATATGAATCCCTCCGAGTGATGTCCAAAATTAACTAATAACAGCTAGGTAATGGTAAGATAATTATTTTTGGGTTGACTTGAGTGATCATAAGGAGTTGTGAGAATAATATTGTATGTATTAATATTTATTTACTATCATTTATATATTAAAATTTTCAATAAATTAAGCCCACTACTCTTAATTAAGGTAGAATTTTATTTGGTGTCTATTAATAGAATAATTTCTAAGTGCTTATGAAATTGTTCAAAACCAAATATATGATACATCGATTTCTTTTTAAAAAATATTCTCTCTAGTTAGCATGCGTGGGCTGGTGCTAGCTAGTTAGGATAAGTTTTCGGTGCTTTTTGATGTACAATTGTACATGGACACCACTAAAATTTGTAAATATTTGACTCAAGGATGATGTTCTTCAAATTTAAAAAAAAAAAAAAGAAAAAAAAAAGAGATAGAGATCGTATTGTCTGATTGTCTCTCAAGATGAAGTGGATAAGGCAAGAATAAAGAAAATGGCACATGATATTTTTGGCGTATTACATATGCACGCTACATACAAGAATTTCTCCAGCAACTAGTTCCTTTCATGACCATACAACACAAGATGGAACTTTCGTGTCAAATTGAACCAGTTATGCTTCGTGCTTCTTGATACCTCAGTTTGACTGCATGAAGACTCTTTTCTTCACAGTGTTTTTGTCTTCTTTTTTTTTTTTTTTTTTGTTAGTTTCAGAGACAATTTTTAGTCCTTAATATTTCTACCCATCCCTGCTATCATCTGACTCCATTATTTAATTTGTCTCAATACCGAACACAAAACATGGGTCTCTCTCTCTTTATTCATGATACATCTGACATGTCTTCTCTTTACATGAATTTGAAGACAAATCCGAAATCCGGATTCATGAACAATACCTACGATTTTGTCAATTTGCGTCTAGGACCAAGAAAAACATTCATCGATCAAGATTCAAGACATCATGCATATGTCTTTTTTTTTTCTACTGCAAACTTCATGGGTGTCTAACCTCTCTCCTAAAATAATTTGTGCACATAATTATATAAAGTTGAAGATTGGACCAAAAGTTTAATTTTTTTTACTATATAATGGATTGATGAATTCAATTTCTAGACAAATTTATAAATATTGATATTAACTACTACGACATAAGTAATATTTAGAAAAAACTAAAATAAAATACAAAGAATATTTTAACCCACATACGTAAATATACATGTCTCGTATGGCCGGAGAAAGAAAACAAATCCCATGCATCCCGCACTCGGTGGCCTAATGGTCATCCCCTTGCAGGGGCGTACGTAAAATTAAAAGGACTTGAGATCAAATTTCAAATCTCCCATTTTCCTTTTCTTAAAAATAAAAAAAAAGATTTCACATTGTTTAAAAAAAAAAAAAATCAAATCCCATGCATGTGTGTAAGAGGAAAATCCGAACTTTGTTCATAGTTGCACTATGGAAATATTTGGGGACAAATATTCCATCAGTAACGTGTCGCCGATCCCCAGGGGCCAGACCCCCTAATTATTATTTTTTGACCAAAAATCCAGTTCTCCATCATCTCCACGTGGGCTGGTCGTGAAACACGCCCCCCCGTGGCCCTGGTTGCTTTGCAACTATCTTTTATTTATACCTTT